TTTTGAATAGAATTGATTTTAAGGAAGGAACAATAATTTTCTTTGGGTGATGATGATTACACCCAATACAGAAGGAAACATATTTGCTTTCAAATTGAAATAAGTAATTTTGTTTATGGCTCACCTTGAGCAGATCCAAATTTTGCAGCACTTCTTCCAAGGACTCGTCCTTCCATCACACAGAAAAGCACCAATGCAGAAAAGTATGACAACAAATTGCACATTTTTTGCAACTTTTTGGAGCTTTTATATATATATACCTGCTGCTGTATATACATCATATACATTCTACTGTAGAAATCCATATACATATGTACACTCTATACAGTGTTGTGTGTGGAAAACATTTCTCTGTACTGTATAAAGTGTAATCAATTTTTTTGCCCATACTGTACAGTATAAGTGTTCTCTATATAGAGCAAAATTTCTGGCCCCCATAATTTTTGTTGAAGACATGGTTCACACTCTACATGTTTATATAGCTGAGGATTTTTGTGTGTGACTAAAATATATTCATGGATGATGAACATGAAATTAAGTAAGAAAAATCCCCAGTATGAGAGAGTGAAAATGTGCTCACTGAAACATAAATCAAGAATATCATCTTTAAGCTCTTCTTCCTTGGAAAAAAAAGTTCACAGTATATTTACCAGTTCAATCTACACTCTTTTCAAAGACTATTCTTTTTTATATAGGACGAATAATTCAATATGAACACAGTTCGTAATCCCTTGCTGTAGATTAAAAAAAAAAGTTGGGGAAAAGTCATCAAATAAAGGGTGTCCATGATTGCTGAACATTTCCGGAATTCCATTAATTCTGCAACTTCATGTTCAATTCCATTTTGCACCCAGCAGACTCACTTTTGACACCACAGCACTGAATAACAGACACATATGTGACATCACATACATCAAGGATCACCATCAGCAGCAGCAGATATCAAGTATGAATGAAACCCTTCCAATCAATTCCAAGAACAATAATGAACTACAGCAAACGCAGAAATAAATGCTGTGGGGCATATGATGCCCCACAGAATTCTTCTCCGCTGGATGATTCCATGCATGCTGCAGCACATTTACAGAATATACACACTTGGTGAAACCAGATCCAAACACTTGCTGCTCAGTGCTGCTGATGATGGCCAGAAAGAATCAAGAACGCGCACAGCATGCTTGTTACTCTTGACACAATTCTTTTGGATGCAGACCAGATGCTGCACAGTTGAAATAAAGAGATATAGTATTCCAATAAGTGAATCATCACCATATCCTGCCAAAGATATAAACACTTCATTGATAGAATACAAGAATGACTTACTTCTTGGAATTTGACCCTGAACATCACATTTTCATCATATCCCTGCTGTAGCTGAAAATTCCAAAGAATGCATTGTCCAACATACAATACTACAACAGGTGGTACATATACCTTGAAATCTGACACTTGGATTTGCAGGAAGCTTGACTTGCAATTTGAACCTTATTGCACTGCAATTCAACCTGCTTTGGCCACTTTTTTGAATTTTTGTACTGATATTTCTCAATTTTACAAAGTTTCTTGCAATTCAACTGCATCAAAATTTGACCCTAGTTGGGCAAATGATTAGGGTCACATTGTAAGGTAACACCTGTACTTTGAATATCTTCCTGACATTGTTCCTCAAATGACAGAAAAAAACATTTAACACTGCAAATAAGTTTGCTGTTAGTTCAAGATGAAACAGATCTGCAGAATCAGTGCATATAGAATGAGATAAAATGATACATCAAGAACAAACATGAAGAGTTTTATGCATGGATATGAATAAGGAATAAATGGTATGAGATGGAACAAATGAATTGCAGCACACAAATTAACGAGTACAGTAGTACTGTATATAGAGTATACTGTATACAGGGTGGGCAAAAAAAAGAACCTGCAGCAAAGTTTGCTATATTTGAATTAATTATCACACATTCCATTTATCCTTTAAAAAAAAGCTCTGCTGGAGAACAGCAGCAGCTTAGTGGAATGAAAATTATTTGTTTCACTGCAGTATGTAAAACTACAGTATTTGGGAATTCCTTGAATATCTTTCGATCCAGTGAAAGTTTCTTACAGTACTGTATATAAAATAATAATGGGCATGTTCGTGATGAAAATTGAGGATATGAGGCAAAAGTAACACGAAATCCTCCATATATATATATTTTTTCTTCTCCGTTTTTCGTTTTCGCGTGTCTCACAGCAGCGAACACAAAAGATAAAAGTAGGCAATATTCAGCGATAGCCAAAAAACTTTTCGCACAAATAAAAAGCTGCCTTTGTCCCCGTCATCGCGTTTAAAAAAAAAAAAAATCTCACATCGAATCCGCAGAGTTTTGATCCACTGCCTGGAATTAAGTCTCTCTCGTGTATCCAAACATTAACCCTCACCCGCCAATTTTTTTTTTTCCGCAGCAAAGCCGTGCAGAAGATTAACGGTTATACACCCAAAAAAAGAAAAGAAAGAAAGCCACCGAACCGATGTTTTCAAAAAAAGAGCAGCCTCGGGCTCGCAAATCGTGTCAAAATTACCTCTCTCCCTTTCGAAAGTACAAATAAAAAAAAAAAAAAGAACAGGGCTCTCATTTGCCAACTTTTCAGCAGCAGCAGACGAAAAGTACAGCATGAGCCCCGTTCTTTCAGGTCGTCGAGTCACATCAAGCACAAGCCCATACACACACACACACACACACACTCAAGCTTGCGGTAACTGGATTTGAGATGAAGGCTGTTGATGATGCGTCTTCTTCTTTTTTTCTTCTTCTTCTTCTTCTTCCAATCCCAGCCGACCTATTGATGATCGGTGGTGTTGTTTCTTCCTTCCTTCCTTCAAATTTATCAATTATTCCCCTGCCTACAGCTTCTCCAATTAATGGATTGATTGATCGATCGATTTGTTTCCAAAAACATCAACAAGTGCCGGACGGATCATCACTAGGTCCACTTCTGCGCTGGCAGGTCCATTTCCACGGGGGCCTGAAGAATGCTCTTCGACACTGTTCTTCCTTGCGAACGGTAATCCGAGTTGACGAGCCGCACCAGCAGAATTACATTCATGACAATTATCACCGGTAACGCTGATGAAGGATATACAGAAGACAAAACAACGATATTAGATCAAAGTCCATCAGCATTGCTCCTGAATCTTGCGCATTCAATGAGGGGGAACAAACACCCTTCAAATCACGGCATTTTATATGAAGAATTTTAGGAAATTAAACGCGCCAAGGGTTGCCGAAATTGATCAATTATCGATGTCACCATCTTTCATCAACAGCTGCCACTTATTGGGATGACAATATGGAGGCTCTCCATGAAAATGGAGGGATTACCCATATAGAAGACATGGGGGCAACCCTTGGAATTTAATATACCCCTTCAATTTGAACAATTCTTGGAAAAAAAAAAGAAGTTGGAATACAGTACAACAACAGAATATACGATATGCAGGCGCCACCTCTTTTAAATTAGGAGCAAAAAGCTGCCAGAGGGTGGCATTTGCAGAAATTTCACGAAAAATATGTTTAACAGGGCTGCATGTTTTATTCTGGTGCCAAAGAATTTTTTTCCTCAACATGGTTGTTTTTCAGCTCAATCATACGCGGTTTCAATAATTTCAATGGCGAGAACTTTTGGTAGAGCCCTCGTATATTCAGGAAACCATGCGAAGATCCACAGTTTATCCCTGAAGCAATGTGAGGCCTCCTACAGCACTGAATAACAGACACATATGTGACATCACATACATCAAGGATCACCATCAGCAGCAGCAGATATCAAGTATGAATGAAACCCTTCCAATCAATTCCAAGAACAATAATGAACTACAGCAAATGCGCATGATGCCCCACAGAATTCTTCTCCCCTGAATGACTCCATGCATGCTGCAGCACATTTACAGAATATACACACTTGGTGAAACCAAATCCAAACACTTGCTGCTCAGTGCTGATGATGGCCAGAAAGAATCAAGAACACGCACAGCATGCTTGTTACTCTTGACACAATTCTTTTGGATGCAGACCAGATGCTGCACAGTTGAAATAAAGAGATAGTATTCCAATAAGTGAATCATCACCAGCATATCATGCCAAAGATAAACACTTTATTGATAGAATACAAGAATGACTTACTTCTTGGAATTTGACCCTGAACACATTTTTATCATATCCCTGTAGCTGAAAATTCCAGGGAATGTATTGTCCAACATACAATACTGCAACAGGTGGTACCTTGAAATCTGGCACTTGAATTTACATAAGGAAGCTTGACTTGCAATTTGACCCTTATTGCCCCGCAAAATTCAACCTGCTTTGGCCACTTTTTTGAATTTTTGTACTGATATTTCTCAAGTTTACAAAGTTTCTTGCAATTCAACTGCATCAAAATTTGACCCTAGTTGTTTAGCAAATGATTAGGGTCACATTGTAAGGTAACACCTGTACTTTGAAGATCTTGCTGACATTGCTCCTCAAATGACAGAAAAAAACATTTCACAGTGCAAATAAGTTTGCTTAGTTCAGGATGAAACAGATCAGCAGACTCAGTGCATATAGAATGAGATAAAATGATACATCAAGAACAAACATGAAGAGTTTTATGCATGGATATGAATAAGGAATAAATGGTATGAGATAGAACTAATGGATTGCAGCACCCAAATTAATGAGTACAGTAGTACTGTATACAGGGTAGGCAAAAAAAAAAAAAAAGAACCTGCAGCAAAGTTTGCTATATTTGAATTACTTATCACACATTCCATTTATTCCTAAAAAAAGCTCTGCTGGAGAAAAGCAGCAGCTTAGTGGAATGAAAATTATTTGTTTCACTGCAGTATGTAAAACTACAGTATTTGGGAATTCTTTGAATATCTTTCGATCCAGTGAAAGTTTCTTACAGTACTGTGTATAAAATAATAATGGGCATGTTCGTGATGAAAAGTGAGGATATGAGGCAAAAGTAACACGAAATCCTCCATATATATATATTTTTTCTTCTCCGTTTTTCGTTTTCGCGTGTCTCACAGCAGCGAACACAAAAGATAAAAGTAGGCAATATTCAGCGATAGCCAAAAAACTTTTCGCACAAATAAAAAGCTGCCTTTGTCCCCGTCATCGCGTTTAAAAAAAAAAAAAAATCTCACATCGAATCCGCAGAGTTTTGATCCACTGCCTGGAATTAAGTCTCTCTCGTGTATCCAAACATTAACCCTCACCCGCCAATTTTTTTTTTTTTTCCGCAGCAAAGCCGTGCAGAAGATTAAAGGTTATACACCCAAAAAAGAAAAGAAAGAAAGCCACCGAACCGATGTTTTCAAAAAAAGAGCAGCCTCGGGCTCGCAAATCGTGTCAAAATTACCTCTCTCCCTTTCGAAAGTACAAATAAAAAAAAAAAGAAGAACAGGGCTCTCATTTGCCAACTTTTCAGCAGCAGCAGACGAAAAGTACAGCATGAGCCCCGTTCTTTCAGGTCGTCGAGTCACATCAAGCACAAGCGCATACACACACACACACACACACACTCAAGCTTGCGGTAACTGGATTTGAGATGAAGGCTGTTGATGATGCGTCTTCTTCTTTTTTTCTTCTTCTTCTTCTTCTTCCAATCCCAGCCGACCTATTGATGATCGGTGGTGTTGTTTCTTCCTTCCTTCCTTCAAATTTATCAATTATTCCCCTGCCTACAGCTTCTCCAATTAATGGATTGATTGATCGATCGATTTGTTTCCAAAAACATCAACAAGTGCCGGACGGATCATCACTAGGTCCACTTCTGCGCTGGCAGGTCCATTTCCACGGGGGCCTGAAGAATGCTCTTCGACACTGTTCTTCCTTGCGAACGGTAATCCGAGTTGACGAGCCGCACCAGCAGAATTACATTCATGACAATTATCACCGGTAACGCTGATGAAGGATACACAGAAGACAAAACAACGATATTAGATCAAAGTCCATCAGCATTGCTCCTGAATCTTGCGCATTCAATGAGGGGGAACAAACACCCTTCAAATCACGGCATTTTATATGAAGAATTTTAGGAAATTAGACGCGCCAAGGGTTGCCGAAATTGATCAATTATCGATGTCGCCATCTTTCATCAACAACTGCCACTTATTTTGGGATGACAATATGGAGGCTCTCCATGAAAATGGAGGGATTACCCATATAGAAGACATGGGGGCAACCCTTGGAATTTAATATGCCCCTTCAATTTGAACAATTCTTGAAAAAAAAAAAAGTTGGAATACAGTACAACAACAGAATATACGATATGCAGGCGCCACGTCTTTCGAGTTGAGAGCAAAAAGCTGCCAGAGGGTGACGTTCGCAGAAATTTCATGAAAAATATGTCAAACAGGGCTACATGTTTTATTCTGGTGCCAAAGAATTTTTTTCCTCAACATGATTGTTTTTCAGCTCAATCATACGCGGTTTCAATAATTTCAATGGCGAGAACTTTTGGTAGAGCCCTCGTATATTCAGGAAACCATGCGAAGATCCACAGTTTATCCCTGAAGCAATGTGAGGCCTCCGTTGCATGTCAACCAAACCACCCAGACTCTTACCTATGCTTCCCAGAGAGAAGGCTGTAGCTGGAATGACGTCCCTGTTTCGGAACAGCCACTGCGCCATCCAAACCAGCACGGACAAGCGGAATGTCAGAAATGTCCCTTTAATCAGAAAATAAAAGGAACGCATTCAAAAGACAACACGGAAAACTCGCATGAAAAAAAAGAAGGAATAGATTTGCTGCAATTCTCAAATCCCTGGAAAAAAGGAAACCTGAAATCGAAAATAAGTTTTCAAATACAAGCAGGGAAAGCTGCAGACATTGAGAAATTGATGCTGTAGCTAACCGTGATTGTCAGTAAGCAGAACCAAGAGGGTGCCTAAAAGAACCCCCCCTAACGTTAAACGTTCCCATCTAGTCTATGCAGATCAAATCAACCATTCGTTTTCTAGGATGAGTAGGGCTAGATGTCGCTCGCAGTCCAAAACCCAATTCAAAATATTGTATGAAGTACTTTACATGTAGAAAAAAGTTTGAAGAGGACATCCAGCTTTTATTTACTACACTGAACTGTAGCCATTGTCGCAGTAGAAAAGAATGCACAGGTCTGTGATCAGATTCGATGAGGTCAAGTCAGGCCAGGGTCAATAAGTGGACTCTCACCCAGGTTGACCAGGCTGTTGAGCCTGTAGACCAGGTTGTGCTTGGACACGCCCTGCAGCAGCATGAGCTGCCGCGCGTGCAGAAAGACCGAGTTGACCTCGGACAAGAGGGCCAGTTGGGCGTAGGGCACGTAGCGACCCGTGAAGACGGCCAGGCCGAAGCAGGCCAGGATGAACCCGTGGTGGATGAAGAGCTCGTTCCGCGTCGCCTTCTTGTCGTCGTTGAGGAACAAGTCCACCGAGTCCACGAGGAAATAACCTGCCAATGATCCACATTTTCAATCATCATCATCATTCAGCATCAACTCGTCCTTTTCTCCGCTGTCATCAGCATTCAGCACTGCTGCCAACTGCGTCAATCGCCGGCAACTTTATCGAGCACAGAAAACTCGACCACGAGACACATTTCATCAGACTTTGAAGGCGATTCAAATTGAAATAGGCTCGTTTTAATGTTTTCATCAGTACCATACAGTATCACCATATTGCATTTGCTCATCCGCATTTGGATGAAAAATTGAAGTTAAAAGGAGAATCTATCGTTACCTTGCATCAATCATTGCAATTCCGGAAAATAATATATTTGTCATCTTCAGCCGAAGACCTGAATTACTGTACAGCACATATATAGGGAGATCGTAGATTGTAATTTTCATATGTATATTACAGTTTCAGACGCTACTTTTTCCATTCGAGCTCTGCCAATTATTCAAGATCATTTAAGTTCTCTTTACTGTTTTTTTAAGCTGTAATTCGGGTTTTCACAAAAAGGCGCCCCAAAGGCGTATCCATAATTTTTGAAGCCCTTTTTTCCAGTCATATTTCGTGGATGAGAATGTGGCGGAATTACCTTGGGATACAACCCATTGGAATTATTTCGACAATTTCAAGAAGGACACATTGGGCTACATAGAAAAGTCTACGAAAAGGCGCCTGCCTCATGTTTTGTGGGAAGAGCAAAAGGCTGCCAAGGTGAATTTTGCAAAATAAAGAAAATTAAATATATGTGCCAAAAAGAACTGAATTTTTTGTTCTCATCGTTGTAAAGAATGATTTTCAGCTCAAACACATGCAGTTACAATTATTTTCCGAGAACATTTTACAAGACACGTCGTGCTGTACAGCAATATAAATAATTGGCACGGTCGCATTTTTCGGTCTAGTGACCTATACTGACCTAGGGAAAATGCCGCGAGTCCGTGGCCAAACTTGGTGAAGCCAAAGACAATGTTCTTGGCAGACTCCGGGTACCAACAGAACCTGCAAATGACCAAAATGCTTCAACACACGAAAGAGGAAAAAGTAACCCCTTCATAAACTCGCAGCAAGTTTATTCAGAATTGCCAAAAGATAAATAAATAAATAAATAATAAACGCGAGACTCACGAGAGAAGCGCGCCGGCGCCCGTGATGGCGGCATGCGTGCAGGACGTGGCGATGTTGGCCCACCGCCACCTGGCCCTAGCACTCGCGCTGCTCTTGGCCACGAATCTCGGGGCAGCCACCGTGAATTTCACGTGCAGGCCGTAGAAGAACGCGACGCCGAGCCCGATCCAAAGGGCGCCTATTTGGGCGCTCGGCGGCGGGCTCTCCGCCAACAACTCCATTATTCCTCCTTCTTCTTCTCCTCGCTACACTCCTCCAGCCCCTGCTTCTTCTTCTTCTTCTTCTTCCGAGGCCCGATCTCGCACCACGCACGACGACCGGATTTCTTCGCTCGTCGCAAGGTTCGTTTCACAAAAACAAAACGAAGGAAAAGAACGGCAATCGAACGCAAAACACACAAAAAGGAACAACTCAAATGCAACTAAAAACCCTGCGGACAAAGCAGAAACAAAAAGGAGAAGAATTCACCCGACACGACTCGGGGTTTGGCTTTTCGTCAAATATCATCATTTTCCCCAATCAATCAGAACAAGAATGCACGTCATTCGGTTGCTTGGCTAGAAGCAGCACGTCCGCTTCAATTTCAAAAACAGGGCCACATCATGCACTTGAAATCTTTCAAATCGCAGAAAAGTCTGTTGTCGACTTGGGAGCTTTGAAGTGAATGCAAAAAAGTATTCGAGGTGTGTCAAATCAACTCGGGGCTTCATCAGTGAACCAAGATATGAAGAAAATACCTGTATGGGTAAAAAGGAGGAATTTTGTCTTTTTAACCCCTATTTAAACGCACGACAAACCACAATGTTGACCTTAAATGTCATTATTTCACTGAAGCATCGAGTTGCTAACTTCTTTCTTTCGGATATCTGGACGAAAAAGGCTGTTTCATGTCATACCAAAATGAAAATAGCAAGAGGAGGTTCTAAAATTTATGTAGAAATTACTCGTGCGCGGGATAATCTGATCAAAATGATAAATGACAGCCTTACACAGTGTATAATTTAATTGAATAAGGTACCGTCCAAAATGCTCCAACAACAAGTGGATTAAAAATGCATTTATGCGTTGAGAAGAGTAAAAAAAAACAAACTAATCCTTCAGACAAAACAAAAATCGACTTTAGCTCAGGAGTTTCCACGCCACATTAGAAACTAAACCAAAAGAAAAACAGCTTCGATTCGCTCAAACCAGCCATTACGTACTGTACGCGCCTGTCAAGACCTATCCCAAGCCGCACCAACAAACAAACTTTTCTTCCGTTAAATGAAACCAAAAGAATGAATAACATTTTCAAAGACAATTTTTGAAACTGGATTTCGTCGCGTGTGCATGCAGCCTCGAGCCAAGCAATCCCGTTTGCGCAATGACTCGAAGAAACCGGGACACACGGGGGAAAGACTCGACATTCTCGTTACGTAACGCCAAACATTTCAACGCGTGAGATTGCGGCGTGAGTTTGCTGAAACCCTCCCCGGAAAAAAAAAATAAAGGAATCACAGACGTCGCATACAGAGTTTCGCCGGTCGTCACTCCACAGGTATTACACGTGATAAACAGGATCCAAAAGTGTTGGGGAGGAGATTACAGAGCCACCACAGGTACAGTACAGTACAGTACAGTATAACACAACCGTCTCCTTGGCTTTTTTCCTCCATCACCTCTTGACTTGAGAGGAGAGAGAGAGAGAGAAAAATAAACTGCGTAATGCAACCACTGAATTGGAACCACGATAAGCGTCAACGATAAGCAGAACGGAGCTCGATATTCACCGTCGTCAGTCTCACGCCGACATCACCTCGACAGATATCCGACAAAAGCATTTCGGGTGGGACTGGGAAGGAGGAAAAATACAAGATATCAGCGTATTTAAGCGACCGTAAGATGCACTTGAATTCCGACAACACGCATCTTAATTTCTCAACCTGTCCCCATCATTAAAAAAAACGAAAAAAAATCTATAATTCTTACTTGGATCAACAGACACATCGAAATACAGGATGGTCCAAAATATGCAAAAATTCTAGAAGAATAATATCTGCGTCAACTAAGCAAATTCTAATGCGGCAAATACAGACTCACTATTTGTTCTATTTTTCAAATGAAACTGACACTGCATGCGTCCAGCAAAAAAAAAAAAGGAGGGCACCACCAGACGCTTTCCCACATCTGAAATGATTTTCAGTTTTCCGCATAAAAATATTTGACATCTTTCTCTTGACGAATTTTCCCGCATCATGAAGGAGATTCCAATTTCGAAAAGAAGAAAAATTTGTGCAGACTTTTGTACCACCCCGTACACGAGACAATTTGAAGACCCCCATTGATTTTGGAAGCGTTGAATTCGACGGAGAAAAACAAATGCATCTTAAATCGACCGACAAATACACAGCTTAAGGAGACCTTTTCCTCTCTCTCTCTCATTCTCTCAAGCCTGCTGAGATTGCCACTACTACATTACAGTACAGGGTAAATGCCGTTCAGGCGCTGAAGCGATAGAGTCTTTCAAATTTCCGTATTTCTTTTCTTTTTGTTGGCATTCCAGGATGCGCAGAGACACAAACGCCGTTCACACTTCTCACTGCTCAAAAGGCACCAGCGAAGAATATCGTTGCGTCAAAAGCAAAAAAAAACAACACAAGAGAGCAGATTTTCTTCAAAAAAAAAACAAAACAAAAAACAGCGATATCGTCATCTACAGTTGGAACTATACCACCTCGCCAACTAGTCTTATTCAATTCGAAGTTAACAGGATCATCTACATCAAATTATTTTAATGGTCGCGTCGGTGCAACACTTATACACTCGCAGGTAGAAAATTGCCTCCTGTTTTCTCACATTTGAATGCTCAATCCGATCGTTCCTGTTTTTTTAATTTTTAGTTTAAAGATGTCAGATTTTGTTTCAAAACACAATAGGATCCAAACTTTTAAAGACCTCTGATGAATGAGAGAAACACAAGAAGAACGCGGGAAACCTTGCGACGAAAATTTTCTGGAATGAATGGGCTTCTTTTTTTTCCTTTGTCTTATTGCGAATCGATGGTGATATAAACCATCAGAGAGACATTTCATTTTCGCTAATTGACAAAGTTTTATGTTTAGATAATTGGAAAAATGACACGGAATTAGTTTCGAATTGAGAATCTTCTCGATCGTTTCAATGCGATGGTTCCAAAATTTCACGAGATATTGTAGAAGGAGTTCCACTTTTTCCGGCTCAGGGTATTCACAAGGACAAATCCAAGCTTTCAACACTTTCCCAAATAAGCAAGCAAGCACAAGCAGAGCGGAAAAACGAAAGCAAAAAATGGAATTTGACAAAAACTCGCCACAATGTTTCCGGATGAAAATGGGACGGCGGTTCAACAACGAGTATGCGTACGTACGTATACTCGAAAAAGCGCTGCTAATTCACTAACAACCCCAGAAAACAAACAAACAAACAAAGTAATTATCGACACGTGGACGCCATCAGAGCGGAGGAAAAAAAAAAAAAAAGCAAAATCCTGATTGGTTTCCTTTTCCTCCTCCTCCCCTTCTCCCGATTGATCCGTCGATTGGACGTTTTCTTGGCGTTTTTTGATTCCCAGACTCGCGATATTCAACTTCTACAAGTGATGCGTCATTCGTCATCTACTCTCTTCTCTTCTCTTCTCTACTCGTCGACGTCGTTGGTGTCACAGGACGAATACCGGTCCCCGGATCCCGACGACGCTGACGACGGCTCGTCGGCGTCGATGAATGGAAGGTTCTCGGGAGAGAATTCTTGGAATTGCTCGACAGTGCGAATGCCGATGGTCTCCATGAGTGCCTTGAAGGCGCCGGCTTCAGACGACATCAGATCCAGCGGAGCGCCAAATTCCGCAACCTGCAAAAAAAACGAAGAAAAAACATACAAATTTCCGATTGCCCCTTTTCAATTTCAAAAAGCCGTATAAAATGTAACAAATTGATACTGTGCGAGAATAAGCGGGGTAGAAAAAAAATCAAGAATGATATGAAAAACATTCAATTTGAAAATTCGGGGACTTGCAATTATGAGCACGCTAACACAGTAATGTACTTGAAGATGATGGCGAGTAGGGCAAATTGTAATTTGGGTTTCTTTTTAAAGTACGAATCCTATTCATGTAAAACAAAATTATCGAAATATCCCACATACATCAGGGCTGAACATTTTAATTCACCCGGAAATGCGCGAAAAAAAAAAAATTCCAGTAACACTTGACTGCAACTTTTTTTTCCCAGCGGGACCTACGATAGGCACAATAATCCGAGAGGTCCTTTTTTTCAATTCTGCCACATTAAAAAAATAATAATAATACTGTAATAAGGTTCTCCTGCGGAGAAACATTGAAATTCCCAAAATAGTTTTGGTTGACTTGAAAAAAAAAAGGAATTGATTCGCCTTTGACTCGCTTCTCCATCATCGAAATAGGGCAGAACCAAATTATTTTGAAAATAAAATATATATATATACAGTACATAAAATTTGGAAATTTCTTCGAAGTAAAAATTGTCTTCAATACGCATGCCTCCATATTCTTTGAGGTGACCAAAGCTAAAATCCACCTAAAAAAAAAAAAAAATACCGACACGTACTCTCGAAAAATCTTCTCCAAGGGGCTGCTAACCACTGAAATATGCGACAACACTGGAAAAAAAATCCACGCTTGCAAATTTTCTCTCGGCGCAATTGCGCAATTTCGATGTGCAACCTGTGGTCAAACAAGATCCGCGTCATTCCCTGATGGTGATCATACCAGTACTTTTATTTATTTTTTTCACAGCAGAAAAAGCCAAGTTAAGTTGGATATGGTGGAAATGAAAGAGATTTGAAAGGTGAAACAAAAGAAGCAAATATTCCAGAGCAGGAAACTCAAAAGGACAAGAAAACTTGCCCTTTGTTAGAAATGTATTCATTCCTTCTATTATCGCAGGAAGCCAAAAGAATAAAAGTTGGATATCGCCAAAATCAACGGAATTTCAAAGAGAAAACAAAAGAAGCGAATATTCTCCACCAGGAGGAAACTTGGCAAAGAAAACTTGTCCATCGTCAAGTTGACTTCCCCCACCAGTTTCCACCGGCAATTTCTATTGATTTTCAAAACCCTCCCCCACTTTTTCAGAGGTATATATTCCTGCCTATAAAAAGGTCGCAGTGCTCAGTCGTGACAGTTCCTCTAACCAAAGTGTGTGACAAACTGTTTGGTGGAATCCTTCATCGGGAGTGAATCTCATCCAATTTCCCCGTTAAGTCGAACAAATTTCCGCGTGTGAGAAGACATTCTTTGGTTATGATTCCAGTGAAAATAAATATCGAGCATTTGAATTCATGTGATGAAAGACGCGAAGAAGTTAAAAAGGCTGTGATACGCGAATAACGAATCGAAAATTTCCAATAATCGTTTAAAGAAAATATTGCGTCCGTTTCGTTGATTAGTTTGCGTTTGTTGCGCTAAAGTGTTGAGAAACACGCCAACTTTTTCGATATTTTTCAGAGCAATTCTACCAAGCCTTCGATTTTCGTGATCCAAAATATTAGCATACGTGTTGAAGTCAGTGAGGAGTTAAACTAAGCTTAACACATATATGTATATATTTGGAAATTTCTGGGCAGAAACTGGGAAGTTGAATTGATGAGGACAAACCTTCTTGGTCGAGTTAAAATCTGCTGTAGAATTTTTGCACTCAACATAGAAAGAAAATATTTATATATTATGTTGAGTGAAAATATTCTACAGCAGATTTTAACTCAACCAAGAAGGTTTGTCCTCAGCAATTCAACTTCCCAGTTTCTGCCCAGAAATTTCCAACATTGTTTTTTTTTCAGTTTACTCATCTTGCTATAAAAGAGTTTAATTGTTCAAGCCCAAGATGACTTGGAAGCAGTCCCATCACTTTTTTGCCTTTTACATCTTCCCCCTTTTTTATTGATGGACTTGTTTTGTAGATTAAACTCTCTCCTTACAGTTTCGAGCTGTGAGAAAATGGCCAGTGTCTTCTGAAAAGTGCATATAATTTCTTTTATTTTTAAATTCCCCTTCAATATTTTTCATAATTGTTGGATGAATTCCAAATTACCCTTTTGGTTGATGAATGAAGTTAACATTTTGAATGAAGGTACAGGAAATGGGATGTTTTGGGGGATATTATGTTAGGCTATAAAGAATAATTATTTTGGTCCCTAGAATTTCAGAAATTTCCATCAACTGATAGTTGAATGGTATAAAGTTCAAAAATTCGACTAGTACACTAAGCCTTGAGTTTGTACTAGTCTAAATTATTTTGAGTCTTCTCATTTTTAATGCTCAGATCAATGGAACAAAATGTGCAAACGCTTTTTACACGCATTGCAATAATAGATTTTAGAAAATAAGCTCTGGGGCCCTCAAGTGGCTCACCAAAGGGTGATAAAATGGAAAATCAGGGCTTGCTCAGAAATGGGATGATTGTTCGAAAATTCAAATTTTTTTTCATGTCCCACTGACTGGCTGCAGTAAGCCTTCAATTTGAAGTTTCTTTTCTTTAAAATATCCCCTTTTTCTATTCGGCCCCAATTGACCAACACCTAAAACAAGGCGAAAAAACAAGTCATAACAGGATTTTTCATTTTCAATTTTCCTTGAAGAATGGACTCCTCGGCAAAAAAAAAAAAACAAAAGGGGAAAATACAAAATGTGATGTGCAAGTCAAAATTGGTCAGTTGGAAAAATTGTCAGTGGATTTTTCGATATTCGCAACTATTTGTGCATCTTTGAGGAAGAACTTATGCATATAAAATTTGCTTCACTTAACGCTTCTCTTCTTTTTAAATTAATAATTTTATCCGACAAAATGAAAGAGGAATCCAAATTCTCCAATTTTGTTCAGATTCCTTCATTTTTTCAGGAGGAAAATGATAGTTTGCGTCATTACCTCATTTACATTTTACTTTTTTCTCCACAGATGAATGATGGCTGCTGCTGTAAACAAGACCAAGGAAGAAGCGGACGCCAGAGAAGATTTTTCTGAAGGACGTGTTTTTTAAGTCTTGTGAGTCATCTGCGAATACTTCATTGCAGCTGGGTGAAACCAAACCTCCCCTATCTTATTAACCCCTTTCTAGCAATCTTCAACTGTACACTTAATTACAATTTTAAGAAAGGTTCTTAATTATACACACCCCATTCAACACTTCTCAATGTCCCTACAACTATTCTCCTCAAAAGATCTGAAGTTCATTTTTCTTACCCTTCATGAAAAATCACGGGAGTTGTGCAGGATTTCTTCAAAGCTAGACTCTTGAAGGAATTGTAAGTTTTGAAAGCAACTGCATTTCAGCCAAACTCCATGATCATTTACAAAAAGTGAACCAGAAAAAGAAATTGTTGAATCTTTCATCTTTTGCAAGTCACCCAGCTTCATTCAGCTGCAATGCAAACTTATTGGATAACTTCGCAGGTCTTTCAAAAATTCAAAGCCCCATTTTTTTGCGCAATTGCATTCTATTTTTGTTTACATTTCTTGCAGACATGTCTGGATATTTCTCGAAAAATCTGATAATGCCTGCCTGGCAAATAAAAGGGCAATTTGTTTAAATTCCCTCACAAATTTGAGAAAAAGCAATTCAAAGAATGCATAATTCCCCCGCGTGGAAAAGTGTCGGTGGAAGTTATGGACTGTGAAGCTAGCATTGATAATAAAAAAAAATATTTTGCCTCAAAAAAATTGAATTCCATTGAATCCAAAATTGCATGTTGCAACAGTCAAACATCATTACACGGTGGTGACTGATGCATCAAATTTATTTGCTGTGGCATATGAAATCTAGAGATGACTGACAAATTTTTGAGTCACCTCTAAAATGCCACAGCTATATGACCCATTGAAAAGACTGCCCCAAGAGTCTTGAAAAATTCGAAAATTTGCTCAGAAAAGACAGCATGAAAACAACACAAGTGCAGTGAAGTTGGCAATTGCAGTCGTAGTTGGGGGGATGATGCGGAACAAAAACGTTTACGCCGAACTTGTGGTTTATCGCTTCTCAATGGAATGACTTGTCTCCAAATTTTAATTTGGGTATGGCACTCTGTCCATGCGCAAGGGATGACTCATGCTGAGGCATTTTGTTGCTCCACATGCATTTGAAACCAACGAAAGCTGCTACGTCATGCCCCACCCACTCACTTTGTTGGCTGTCCGGTGACAGAATTGTCTTATGCCTGGTGACAAAATTGTCCCTACAAACGAAAACTGGTGACAGAATTGTCTTGAAATATGAAAAACTGAGCAAAACCTCTATAGGGTTGAGAGATGCAGGTGTCCACATCTCTTAACCCATATGCTGCAACAGGATCTCTTCAGATGACTGCATTCATAAGTCATTTGTGACCTGAAGCATCTGCATTATTTCCCATCACTGGAAACCTCTTTGGGTTCCAATAAATTTGGTGGGAAAGAGGGAAGGAGCTGGAAAAGCATGATCTCTTCAGATGACTGCATTCATAAGTCATTTGTGACCTGAAGCATCTGCATTATTTCCCATCACTGGAAACCTCTTTGGGTTCCAATAAATTTGGTGGGAAAGAGGGAAGGAGCTGGAAAAGCATAAATTATTGAATTTAACGTTAAATAAAATGAATTAATATAATGTCTGAAATGTATGTAATCTTGAACGAGTAGCTTTTGGAAAATTTCAATTGTAAATGGCAAATGTCAAGGATTGAGCAGCTAACTTCAGACGTGTGTGATATGACTCATCATGCGATGCTTGCAGTTGGAGGTGGGCTAGTGTACCGAGTTGAGAAGGAGGGGCTGAAGCCTGTGATCTCTTCAGATGACTGCATTCATAAGTCATTTGTGACCTGAAGCATCTGCATTATTTCCCATCACTGGAAACCTCTTTGGGTTCCAATAAATTTGGTGGGAAAGAGGGAAGGAGCTGGAAAAGCAAAAATTATTGAATTTAACGTTAAATAAAGCGGATTAATATAATGGCTGCAATGTATGTAATCTTGAACGAGTAGCTTTTGGAAAATTTCAATTGTAAATGGCAAATGTCAAGGATTGAGCAGCTAACTTCAGACGTGTGTGATATGACTCATCATGCGATGCTTGCAGTTGGTGGTGGGCTAGTGTACCGAGTTGAGAAGGAGGGGCTGAAGCCTGGGTTTTTTTCATTTTTTGGAACCTTGTTGAGAGGGGTGCTTGCCATACCTTGCATGGAATGGGGCCTCTTCCTTCATTGTCCAGACCAATGGTTGGTCCAGAAAATGGTTGGCCTAGTGTCTTGCTGAAGTCTCCTTTTTTTCAAATCAAGTACATGAAACCAACTAAGTGAAAACTGCCTGGTCAATATATGGATGTATCACATATGCAGGTTGCATATGCTGCTTTTTTTCTCTTGATATTTGTTTGAGGATTGATAATGTAATGGGGTCTATATTTGATTGAAAGATGATTGATGTGAGTTCATGACTACTTGTCAAGCAACTTGGCAGTATACTTGATGCTGCATCAGAAGGGTATATACCTAATTTGCTTAGCATGTGTGTCTGTTCATGTGCATGCATGCTTGCATTTTGGGTGGGAGGGGAGGAGAGGGTGGGAGGGATGGCCAAAAATGTCATGATGGCCATGAGATCAAAAATAGAGCTGTTTCAGGATCTATACAGAGAATGTATATCATCAGATGACTGACTCTTTGAGTCATCTGCGACCTGAAGTAGCCACAAGAAAATGTTGGGGGGAGGGAAGGGGGGGAGAGAGAGAGAGAGAAAGAGATTGGAGGTTGAATGAAAGAATGGATGAGGCAGCATCCAGATGGACATGGCACATGCTGTGGCTGAAAGTTATGCAGAGGTGGCTGACTATTTCTTGAGTCATCTCTAACAAACATGCCACAGCTAGAAAGTCTTTTGAAAAAAGACCATGTCCTAAATTGCTCAGATGAGACAGCAGGAAACCAGATAAGCAGTGGGGTTGGCAATTTTGGTGGAAGCAGTTGGGGGGAGGGATGCAAAGCAAACTGCCAAAATTGTCCTGCCACACCACTCTTTTTGGTTTGACTGCTGTCAGGTGACAGAATTGTCTGAAAGCCTGGTGACAAAATTGTCCCAACAAACAAAAAACTGAGCAAAACCTCTACTGATGACTTGAAAGTTGCGAACTCAAGGGTTGGAGATGCAGGTGTCCCATCTCTCAACCCTAATGCTGTTTCAGGATCTCGTCAGATGGCTGACTTTTCCCGTTTCAGTCATCTGAGACCTGAAGCATCTACATTATTCCCAACTCAACAAACAAAAATATTTTTGGCGAATGAAAAATTGGGAGGGCAGGGGGGAAAAAAGTCTGAGAACCTAAATGTGCTTGCTGTGGCTTGAAACAGCAACAAGCACATTTCTCATGTGAATCATCCTTCTTAATTAATGTTCCTTTCAATATTGATTGCTGTAGCTTGCTTTATTTATCAAACAATCGATGATTCATACGAAATATCTCTCCAATAAATCATTGGGTCATAAATTAACAGTAAATTTTCATAGCTTTGAAAAATGTCATCAATTACCTGCAGTGGGTTTTTCCCCCCGGGAGAGATTGAAGATGACTGACTCAAGTCAGGCTATTCAACAATGTGAGTCCCATAAGCTTTGATGCGAGACATGAAAGAATGCGGGATTTAATCTATAACAAATCTCAATTTTGCAGAAGGTTCGGAACTCAAAAGCTTGGGCACTTGTTCAAGGCAAATTTCTCGTATCAAATTTGCAAGCCATTTTCTGCACAAAAATGACATCTATTACAAATAGTAAAGATCTTTTGCTTCAATTCAAGCTCCGTAAAGACGCCCCAATAAACGACCAAAATTCGCAAAAACCAATTCCTTCTAAAAAAAAAAATTCTGACTGTATGAAATTGAAAGTAACAATAAAACGCCATCTAGAAACGGTATTATTACTCCAATCATCTTCGAAAGTCCGCAATCAAATTTCTGTAAAAAGTTTCCAAATTGAAAAGCATTGAAACAAAAAATGCAATTCTTGCATAAATTACATTTAGCATATGTGCCCGTCTCAAAATTCTTTAAAAAATTAAAACTTTTTATCCTACATCAACCCCCAATAAACCGCCACACAAATTTTTACTTTGAAATTTTAGTTGAAAAATTTGCACAACTTCCTTTCCAGCAAATGAACACAGCGATGTGACATGAACATTTTTTTTACACGCCGGGTGACAATAGCATAATTTTAAAGCATACTCAAATTATTTTGAACGGTTGATACTCATACAATTTAATCTCGTCAATATAGCATCGTGTAAGTTAGTTAGCATTTTGACATCCTCCCACATAATTACAACGCATACTTTTAACACTTTGATTATATTCAACTTACTTTATCCTCCTCTCAAAAGATCACCTCTGTAGTGAAACAGACAGGTGAGCGCTGGAGGTAAGCATCAATTCTGATGGGTAAAATGAAAACTACAAATTCCAACCGTCCTTGAAACTCTAGCAACAACGATACCCACAAATTATAAAACTGCGAATAAAACTTGATCACAAAAAAATACGTGCTGAAGTTCGAATATATAAAAAGTCAAAAATACATCATATAAATTTACACAAATATGGCAAAACAAGTTAATTCTGTTACGAATATTCCCTTTTCACTTCAGGGAAAAATTGCAAAATTGAAACAAACCCTTTTTTGTGGAGGAAAAAAAAACAAATTGAATTGATACATTTAAATTATGCTACACACCGTTCAATATTCTGTAAAATAAAAACATATATTTTTCCATCGTATCGTATTCGCAATATCCCCAGTTAGAGTAAATAAATGTACAAGATGTATGTGAATTGTAAAACCCCTTATCTGTACGTAAAGTTGATCAAATGAAATAAACATCTCAATTTGTCAAACCTGTTATGCAAATCACACTAATCACACTCGCAATTTAAAACATAATACAGTTCCAAACAATATTTTATACTGCTACCTTTTTTTAAACCGTGGAATGACAAACATATATTGAACAACGAAACAAACGACATATTACCGAATGTGTCCAATGTTATCAACTTAATCTTAAGTTTTATAGATTTTCAGAAAAATTTTGAATTAGAAGTGTGAACTATCTTCATTTATCCGTTCAACTAAATCAATTTTTATACGCGCACGAGGAGGAAAATTCCTCTTGAACTTGATAAAAATTTTCATCCAACAAATTGTTGAACCAAGCACAACATTTTAAAAAAATTATTATTGAAAATTTTTTATTGAATCTCTTTTAATTCTTGTAAATACCTTCATCACAAAATCTTTTCAAACTTCAACAAATTATTCAAGTAAAAATTTATAAAATGCAATATTTTGCAGTGAACATAATTTCATGTGTTAATGCGATGAAAGCAAAAATTGAAAAAATATAAAATAGAATTTAGCTCTTTGAAGAGTGACACACAATCAACAATTCAAATTTAATTTTTTGGCTTTCCCTTTTATTCTCCATACCCGTTCCAAGGCCAACGACATATTCAATGAACACAACTCAATCACCATCATATTTTTCAATGCGTCAGCTCCTTCATCCGAATCTGGTTCAAGGAAAACAATTCATCCATATCAAATCCCCAATCCACAAAATTGGATAACATTTTATACAAACAATCCTAAACTGTAAAAAATTAATTTTTCAGATAAATGTGTAGTTGAACAAAACGCCATCAGATTTTGTCAGGTAACGAACAGAATCAGGTACACATTCAAATTCCACAATGAAACGTCATTAAAATCAACAATTTGTCTACTATACTTTGAAAAATTTATAAATCAGACACAATTTCTAATCCATAAATGGGGAGAAAAACCGTTTTTCAATCAATTTTCATTATCGGCAATGAACTTTGATTTTCCTGCGCATAGAAAAAAGCAAATGAAAATTTTTCCAAAGAAAAAAAAAAAAACCCCCACCTTCTTTTTTTTTGTGCCAAAAAATGAGCAAATGATATATTTTATATAAAAAAAAAACTCACCGTTCCGCGATCCATGACAAGAATCTTGTCATAGTGCAACACAGTGTGTAGCCGGTGAGCGATCGTGAGCACTGTGGCATCGACAAACGTGGTGCGCAGAGTTTCCTGAATCAGCGCGTCCGTGCGCACGTCCACCGACGCCGTTGCCTCGTCCAGCACCAGAATGCGACTCTTCTTGAGCAGGGCCCGGGCCAGGCACAACAGTTGCCTCTGGCCCACAGACAAATGAGCCCCGGTCTTCTTGTCATCCCCACCAATGACCGAGTCCAGTCCAGCTGGCATGCCCGCAATGACGGGCTTCAAGTGGGCCTGGTCCAGCGCTTGCCACAGGGCCTCGTCCTTTTCCGAGGCGGACGGGTCCAAATTGGATCTGCCAGAATATGAATTATCGTCATGAAGAAGTCAGTCCGTGAAATGGAATACAATACCAACAAAAGAGCAAAAATAAATTGCTGCCCAACATTCAGAAAAGCAAGAATTACGGCTTTGTTCTGAAAAGCGTCAGAACGTAAAGATCCGAAACATCAAAATACTCTCGGGTATATACATATTCCAGCAAAAGATTTCGGAGAAAACATAGATACTGTAATACAGTTTCTCACGTTGAAAATGTCCTTGAGAGAAAAAGAAAAAACGAGCGTCGTCCAAGTTGCGCGATTCTCATTAGAAAAAGCTTCGTCACATTCAAAAAAAAAAGAAAGAAAAAAACAAGAAGAGAAACCAAGCGCAACCTGATGGTTCCTCTGAAGAGCGTCGGATCTTGTGGAATGACAGCGACACCATCTCGGAGTCGTTTCAGCCCAACCCCTCCAATATCAACCCCATCAACTTCTATGCATCCAGATTCCGCCTCGATCATTCTCAGCAAAGCATAGATCAACGACGACTTTCCTTGAAGGGACAATATGAAAGAGAAAAAAACAAAAAACAAAGCAAAAAGACGGTTTCAAGGTGCAATTAACCCAAATGCCCGTTGGCAAAAATTAACGACAAACCTGCGCCAGTTCGACCGACGATTCCCACTTTCTCTCCAGCTTCCACCAGGAAATCAACGTCGTTCAGAGCAAAAGGTAGGTCAGGTCTGTAACGACAGCAGAAATGACGGAACGCAACGCGACCCTTTTCGGGCCACTTTGGATCCAGTTCCGAGTCACCGATGGACGTCGAGGGAGACTCTTGAGGAACATCCTACAACGTCCGACAAATATCATGAACAAATCACGAACTTGAAACCGACAGTCGCCATATACTGTACCTCTATGTACTCCACCATACGCTCCACGGAAGTCATCCTTGCTTGGAATTCGGATTTCACTCTCAGCAAAAATGGCAAGAATCCGCAGGACTGAAAAAAAAATTAACAAAAATAGATTTTTTTTTCTCAATTTACAGCAAGACCCATGTCTGTTCTCTTTTCAAAACTTCTATTTACAGTAGCTTGTTTCAAAAATGGAATGATCGTCACGATAAAACTTGCAGCTAATAACTTTGATGCATCGCGTATGGGGATAAATTTTCATTCGAAAAAGAGTTTCCATGAGGATTTTCGAAGAACATCAGCAAATGTAAACCAGCTGAAGAGACTGCAAAATCAAAAGGCTTCGTGGAGTATGTGCTAGTATTTTCAACTCTCAATATGAAGGTGATCCTCATCATCCACGTTTGTGGTTCAGCCAATTCTGGCAACCAGTCAGAAAACTTCCTTTCAAGGTAAAAACTTGAGAAAATTCTACGTGAAAATTAACGTTTGCTTACATCGAGAAGGGCCAAATACAGTAATTGCAAAAATTTGGATCGGAAATGTTTGCTCTCAAAGCGTAATTGTCCCGCCTCGACCAACCTGAAAGACGTAATTGAGCGCAACACCGGCCACAGCCGTCGTCTGTCCGCCGTCACCGAGAACTATAATCAAACTCGTGGCCAGAATCGCAATATTCCCCAGCAACTCCAGCCGACACTGGAACCAACGCGACGTGTGTCGGTACAACAACACTGCTGACGTGTGGCGATTCACCAGTCCAGAAAACCTAATCGTCATCATTCGACACGGAGCGTTACAAAAATGCAAATCACAATCGTTAAAGCATTTCTCTTGAAGAAACGGCTCACTTGTCCATAAACTCCGTCTCCTTCTCATACGAGTGAATGACCGAGAGCCCAGACACAGTCATGTCAATGTGCTGAATAATGACGGACCGAGTCACGTTGTCCACTCGCTTCACTTCGCGCACCCCGACATTTAGCCAGTAATCAAACGCCAGGAACAAGACTGCGGAGAAATTCAAATTATTCAACAATCCATCAGAGGAACTCGAGGAATCTTGTGATTCAACCAATCGGTGCGTTTCACCTCAAGTCCTGAAACTCTCTGATTTCGCTTCTTTTTTCTTCACCAATTTATCTTTGATTGCATATCTGTCATTTTAAACATTTTGCTTTGATTCACATTACTGTATCTAGGTTACCTTTCGGTCAGCAAATTACACTTTGAATTCGAGCGACAATTGCCTGAAGTTCCCAAGCAGGGATGAGATTTCAAAGATATTTCTTCATAAGGAGACCAGAAGCGACAATTTCGGGAAATGGACATAGGCAAACGACCATAATACTTTGTAAATCTGACATTCAAGCATTCCTTGAGTAGGAATGTTGCATCAAGTAAAACCTAACAATGCGCTAATTTGATCTAATGTCGCAGCAGGTAGCCGTCTTGAAAAAAATAATAAAGTAAAATACAATACAAAAAAAGCCTAGTTCAGGTTGTACAGTACTCAAAAGGAGACTAGATGTGAGAAGACCTAACTGACCAATCAATCAAACAAGCAAACCTAGAATGACGCAAAACGGCGCCGTGAAGTAGGCGTAGTCGAAACAAATGGCGACGAGCTGCAGGAAAACGTTCAGGATCCCTTGCGTGACCATGCTGCACAGGAATGGCATCCTCACGTCCACTGAAACGATGAGAGTGTCAACCACGAGAAAAATCCTACAGTATTGTATTTCAATCCACTGACTGATGGGAGTGAAGGTCAAATTTGAGCCAAGACAATCGTTTCGCCTCCTTGCAATATTTTCCTTTCGGATCTCTTCAAAATTTCTGCGCAATATATTATGACATTTCTGAGAATAGCACAGTGATTGAATTGAAGTTTGAAGATGCACTCTCTTTTCGGATTTTACTTCAATTTTCGCCTCTGCCCTCGCATTTTCAAAAAAGCTGCAGTTGGTCTGAATGCTACCGAATTAAAATGGTGGAATGCTTACATTCATCTACATCTCGGGAAAACCGATTCATGATCCTCCCAGTCGGAGTGGAATCAAAAAACGACATCGGCGCACGAATAATGGAGTTGAGCATCTCCTCGTGCAACTTGGATGAGGCCACAAGCAGCTGTCGGCACATGACGTACCCTTGGGCCAAACCTGAATAAAAAAAAAAAAGAATCAACCAAAAAATTTAAAGCTTTAATAGCAACCAAAATTCTTTAAACAAACACACGCACACACAAACACAACACTCAAAGAAGAAAAAAAAAGAAAGAGAATATAAACACGTCAATCAACATTGCGGCACAAACCTACTAAAATCACATTGGCAGCCAAGGCAGTCAGCACAATCCGGTAAATGTGCGTGTCCTCTTCCAACGTCTGCCCGTCCTCCCCGCCGATCGCCGAGTCGTCGATCCAGAGCTGCAGCCAGCGCGGGATGACGATCCGCGCCAAGCAGTAGGCCAGCACGACGATCATGCACAAAGTGGCGGCGCAAACGTTGCCCCAACGGCGGTAGTAGCTCCAGTAGGTGTTCATCGTCACGCCGCCAGTGGCGGATGTTTCTTCGCCAATCAACTGGCCGCCGGTTCGGTCTCGATGGATCGAGTCTCCAGCGTCCGCTTCTCCACCGCCGCCTCCTGTTGCAGCTCGGCGGGACTCGGCGCCGCCCTTCAGGCCTCGGGTCCTGTCGTACTTGACCAGGCTCATGAAGCGGCCTTCAGTGTCGGCCACCAGGTCTTCGTACAGACCCTCGCTGGCGATCCTGCCGCCTTCCAAGTAGTACACGTAACCACATTCTTCCAGCAGCTGCCAACGACAAGCGACAAAATGAAAAGGCTCGTGTTCCGACATTTTCAAAATGAAATTTTAAAAAAACTGTATTTCGAAATAAATATGGGATATCCTAAAGCTCTTTTGGAACACGCAAATTTAGGTTATTTAAAAAAAAAGTATTGTAGGGCCAATGTCCACGTCGTAACATGAGAAGAGAAGCTTCAGCTGGTCATCAAACTTGAAAATCCGGAGAAACGTGCAAATAGGTTTTGAGCATTCCGGCTTCGAGCAATTTTTCAAACACCCTCGAAATTGTTATCGTTACTTCAAAGCACTTCCTAATTAAGCCCCAACGGAAATGCGAAGCATGAAATGAGTGCACAGTTCCCAACTACAGCGCATTTATTTGTGTTGCTGTTGTTTGACAGCGTTTATGAATTTTCAACTCAGCAACCTCGTACAGTATTTTGGGAAAAACGTAAACTCCTGCTCGCCAACTCCGCATCTTCAAGTTTACGGCAAACCTTCCAAGAGCTTTAAAAACTGCGCAGCCACTTTCACGTAATGTACACTACAGTACTGTATTTTCAAATAATAATAAAAAACAGTTGACGAACTGTTCATCACGACAGCATAATCATCCAAACTTGATAGGAATTGAGCAAAATAATCCAAAAATGTACCTGCAAGGAATGTGATGCAAGCAGCACAGCTTTGCCTTTCAACAGCCCTCGGATGCACAACGCAAAAATGTCCCGAGATACTTCCGGATCAACAGCACTAAGACAATCATCTGCATAAAACGTGGGAATCCAACTGTTACTCACAAGTCAATTAAAAAATGAATAAATTAAATATACCATCAAAAACCGGTTATTTCACCTTGAAACTTAATCTACCAACATTTTTTTTTGGAAAAAAAATTCTATACCAAGTGCGTCATGTTCGGAAAGAAAAATTCTGAGTTAAGATCTCAAGGGTACCAAATGTATACAGAAATTAACCAAAATGTTCTTCAGTCATCGCCCAAAAAATCACGAATGCTTTGCAAGTCGCATTCAAAAATCAAAACAGAGCAAATAGAAAAATTTCAAGTTCGTTCGAATAAGACTAGACGAAAACAGCGAAATTCGCATTCACGAAACTATTTAGTCTTCGGATCACGACAGGTGGAAAATATCTTTGCAATCCAAAAAAAGTGCAATACCAAAAAATAAAAAAATAATAAAAAAAGACAAGACTCATACCCAATAAATAAATATCTCTGTCGGCGTACACAGCCCTCGCCAAATTGACCCGCTGCTTCTGCCCTCCGCTGAGATTCACTCCCCTCTCGCCAATCTCCGTCTCGTCGCCGTTGGGCAACGAGTCGACGTCCCGCTGCAAGCAACACGCCTCCAACACTCGCTCGTACCGTTCCGCGTCGTAGTCCAGCCCGAAAAGAACGTTCTCACGCAAGGTCGCGTTGAAGATCCACGGGGTTTGCGACACGACGGCGATTCGCCCGGAAATTCGACGGCAATTCTCGCTCTTCACCTCACGCAACTGCGAAAAGTAAATATACAGTTTAAACAATGGACTGTCTTCAAAAGGCTTTCCTTTTTGAAACAGGTAGTTGTGTGCAAATATTTGCAAATGTGCCGTAAGAGAGTGCGTGTGCAAGCAATGTAGCGTCCACGTTTCGCGTCATGTTTTCCTTCCGAATTCATTGGAAATTATATATACCATACTTCTTCGTTCTCCTGTTGATCAAAAATTATGAAAAAAAAAA